AAATCCAATCAAAACAAGAGGGGTTCGGTCAAGAAGAGAGAGAGAGAGAGTTCACATCCCGTTCGAGTCCTGACCCTCATTCGTGTTTTCATGGGATTATCCTAACTACCTAGCCTAGCATAGAAAAGACGGTCTGACACTCTGGCACTCTGACTCTGGGAGATAGATAGATGTCCAGACAATGACCTGAAGAAGGAGCAAAACCGTCCTGACCGTCATTATTTCCCCAAGTGGTGAATGGCCGAGGGGGGCGGGAAAAGTACCCCATCCCAGCATCTCGAGTTTCAAATCACTCATCGTACAAGAGATGCAGCGTGGTCGGGATGGGCGACTCCTTGGCATTGCCGTCGAGATAGATCTTGGCCTTGACGCCCGCGATGTCGTGCTCGATGACGCTGAAGCGGCCCAGTCGACCGGCGGCGCGGCGCAGGTTCTTCAGCCGGAACACCTCCTTGAGCGTGGCGACCAGGGCGGGGCCGACCAGTCTGGCGCCGAAGCAGTAGTGCATGCCGTGCCCGAGAAGCGTGTAGGATGACATTGGGCGGTGCGGATCGATCTTCTCCGGGTTGGGGAAAGCCACTGGGTCCATGGCCGCCGAGGACGTGGCGATGAGCACGTATTGACCGGCCTTGATGTCAACGGGGCCGCGGGCGCCGTCGTCAAATGTCACATCCCGAGAGGCCACGCGGGGCAGACCGGGCACGACGCCGGCGTGGCGCATGCCCTCGAACACGAACCCCAGCAGTTCCTTGTCCGAGGCTTCGTCGTCCTTTTGCGCGAGCTCCACGATGCGCTTTTTGTATTGCGCGTATTCGTCGCGGAGGTAGAGATCGATCAGCAGGGATGCTTGTTGCGTGATGTTACCCGCGACAGGGGCACCCATGCCGATGCAGTCACCCACGATGTCGCCAATGTCCAATCCTGTCTTGTTCATGGCGTGGTAGAACCGGTCCGCATCCGGCCCAACTTCATACGCGGAGCCCTTGGCGAGCCAGTCCACAATGTACTCCGTGACACCCCGCTGGGTCCGGAGATGAGCCGTAAAGATTTGTCGGAGGATCGGCGCAACCGTCTCGGCCGTCTCCCTCAGCTTCCACTCATTCACCGGCAAGATATTGAAGCTCTGGTACATGAAGAGGACGAGGTAGATGTCGAACAGCTCCGGAATGGTGACCAGGCCGCGTGGATGGGCGGCGTCCTTGATCGGAATCGCGAAACGGCGGGCGAGCCACATGATCGGCGTGACGTTGCAGACGTCTCGGACAATGTCAATCGACCGTCGATGATCCGGATACTTGAGCGTGCTCTTGTGGATCAGGCTTCTGACCGTCTCTCGAAAGTATTTTGTAAGATTCGCCTCAAAATTCTCTTCGAAAAAGGCCTTGTGGAGGATGACAGAACGTGGGTCGTGGCGTTTCTGGTCGTCCCAGCCGATCATGAATTCGTGGCCGTCGGTGCAGTTGCGGATCGCGGCTTGATACATGACGTGGAATGTTTCTCGATCTTCAAAGGCCTTCTTGACACCTTCTTGAGTGTGTATACCTACTAGCTTCATCGCATTTGGTCGAGGTCTCGCAAGGTCATACTTGGCCAGCACTTTGTTGCCTTCGAGGATGCCCTTGACAGCCTCAGGCGTGTAGAACGGCAGCAAAGCATAGGTTGATGTGCCGGTAAACTCCCCAGGGAGGCCGTTGAAGATGAGCTTGGACAGTATACCTCCGTATGCGCCTCCGGGGAGATCGGCAAGTTTGGACACGCCCCAATTGGTGAGGGTGTTGCTATTGAAGTCATAGGTGAGGAAACGGTCGCCTCGCACAAGGGCCACGGCATCATCAAGGATGCCACGTCCAGTGGTTTGACCTGGACAGACACCACTGCCAGGCATTGGTGGCTTGGTACACTCGGCCTGCAGACCCGGATATAGTTCGAGATTGTCGATGTGGCCGTACAGGAGCTCGGCGGCTCGAGAAATTTCCGGGTCATCATTCCACTCCGAGAAACTCTTGTACGCCGTCAAGTTGAGGTATTTCCGGAATCTAGCGATACCTGTCAGCATATCTGCAGTGGTCACATCACATAATCTCAATGTTGATATGATGGGACTCACTCATTCAATGTGCAGGTGTTGAATATCTCTCTGGCCTGAAGCTGGCCCATGAGATCTACCACCTTCAGGCTTGCTGGTGTACCATTAGCTCCAAATGCGTGAGCAGGCTCCTCGATGCAGTCTTTGATGAGGCGGCCAAGATCGGCGTCGTCGAAGCTTCCATCAGGGCCACGCTTTAAACCTCCAAATGTCCATTCGCTGGCAGGCTTCGACATCAAGTCCGTTGTGATCTTCTCTGTCATCTGCCAGAAGAGCCGCGGCGTCATTTCGTCCACAGACTTGATCTGGGAAAGATTCCGACTAATCACATCATCCATCCATTTCGCGTCGGCGGCGCTGAGTGCGGCGTGCCAGTGGTAGAGAACTGCAAACTCCACTGAGACGACATTACCCGAGCCTCTCTCTACTCGTCCCTGTGCAGACTTGATCTCCTCACCCAAGTTGAGAGACCATTCGGAATTAGCCCGTGGCGTATTCAAAATGGCGGCAACATAGTCTCTCAGCACAACAGAGGCGAAGAAGCCGACGTTGATGTTTCTGCTTAGCTGGAAGATATCTTCGTCTTGTCTGTGAGGCGTCAGTCAGATATACGAGCCACCAACGTTGCTATGACGGCGGGTAAACTCTCTCACGCTTTTTGTTTTTCTTCTGTCAGGCTATCCCATTGACCATAACTTCCTTGCTCATTGATGGACAAGAGCGTTTCGGCGATGTGATTGTGGTTTCTAGAAAACATCATCAGAACAGCAATGACGCCCGGTGGCATCAGCATGATCCTCTCCGAAGCGATCGAATCTGGGTAGATGAGTCCATTCTTGTACGTCCGCACTCGCTTCTGCTCCTTGCTCGTGTTTCCGTAGAGCGTGCTCAGGTCGACATAGCTGGACGTCTCGTTGACCCATTTATTGTCCCTTGAAGTTTGGAAGCACTCATGAATGACGACTGTGGCAAAGGAGAAGAACAATCTGTTCAGGCCGGATGGGTGCTTGCGGAACTCTCCTTCTTTCCGCCTAAGCAGATATTCAAAGACCAGTTCCACGTCCGGCAAATTGGGGCCCTTTGGTTTCACGGGCGGCACGCTTCGACTGTAAGGGGACCCTGCCTTTCCCAATTCAGGGTCCCAGAGATTATTGTTACCTCCGTCGTGCCTCCTGTATCTTGTCGTAGGACCAGCTGTGGTTCCTGGTGGGTGAGGCAAGTCATCCCACAGCATTTTGATGAACCGACCAGCAGCATTGGCACCTAGTCCGCTGTTGGCAGGGAGAGACTGAAGCATGTGCACGCCATGTTCGAGTAACAGCTCCTTGTCATTAAGCGGTTCTCCTGATACCAATGTGTTGAAGGCCTGAACCAAAGTCGCCGCGTTGTCTCGTCCAAGGTGAGTCAAATCATGGAGTAGCGACGTCTGCTTCACCGAGGGCGTTGCTGCAGCCTCAGCATCGGACCGGCCATCTGGAGCGGTCGGAGCATTCTGAAAAATGGTTGCTTGTAATTTGTGCAATTGTTCCATATCGGACAGAGTTGTCACAGGGACGCCTCAGCTTTCAACCTTCTGACGAGGAATAAGACGGCCTGGACGACCTGAGTTGCAAAGGTGGGAGAGCGGGGAGGTGCTGCATAAATACGCCCGGGCAGAGGGGAACAGCCATGGCGGAATGTTCTGCATTTGCAGCTGGAGGAGGACATGCGCAAGAGCAGATGAGTGGAAGAACATATTTCTCAGACGTGTCTAGACTGACCGAATCCGGTGAGGGTTGAGGTTGTCCACGACAATCTGGGCGTACTCATGAGGAATAGTATCCAGTGACGGGACAGCTGCATGCCGGTTTCCTGCTGGTGTGATGGTTTGATGTCAATATTGCCCTATGAGAAGCTGGACAAACATCGCTAGCCCAGAACACTTTTCAGCTCGGTGGACCAGCAGGGTCCTTTGAGTGGCAGCTGGCGGTCACACAGGCAGCCACCCAAACAGTTATTCAGAGGCAGATCGCACGATCAAGTCGCAACGGAGCGTTTGGAGCTCAACCAGCGGTCAGTATTGACTGAGTGATCGACTGTGAAGGTTCTGTTTTCGGTTGCGCCGCACTCTGTCCAACAATCGAAGCGCAAGCGGATATTGATTGATTGAGTCCTCGCAGACATTTCATGTGTATTCCCTCTAGCTCTTCCCGTCTCCGGCCACAGGATTCAAGTACCGTAATCCTTGTCCCCACAAGGCCTGATTCGTCTCTGAGGAAGGCGAGCATTGGATCCATGATCTTGTTCGCGTTAAGCAGCTTCGGCTGTCGACTCGGTTCGCTCCGAAGGTCTTGGCTTCGCACCAGTTTGTGAGGCGAGTGGGTGATCCCTGGGGGATTGGGCATTGGTGAGACGACAGATGGGTAGCAAACATCGCTCGAGCTGCAAATGTGCAAGGGGATGTCGGACAGAGACAAATTTGTGCGGATGGGGTTTGCATGTCACAATCTCGAACAGGACATTGATGTTTGAACATGAAGGCCAGAGACTCTGACCAAGCCACTGATAAAACGCAGAGCGATGTGGGATAGAGAAGGTCCTGTCAAGTCAGTGAGCTGTGTTGGCATGCGACGTGTTCAATCCACTTCACGGCACCCCGCAGCCACTGCCCCCCCGCGCCCCCATTTTATCTCACCCCGTCACGCCTGTCTACAATGTACAAACAGGGATGGTTTGAAGATTTGAATATCTCAATCAGTGGGTTTTCAGAGGCCTATGCTAGATACACGATTGATCTAAATAGATTCATATCGAACAAACCCGATGCAGTGGCTTTTTGAGTCTGCCAATGGAACAGGTCCCCGCTATCGCTTATGCACCAACCAAAACACCACGACCAGCTAAATTGATCGAGACAGCATTGTCGTAAAGGATGCTATTCTGGCATCGGAGCAAACCGCGACATCTGCCGCAGCTTCCGCCCGTATCTGTAGAAGAGGAATGGAGCCGGGATCGCCAGCACGCACAGAAAGCCGAGGACGCTCGTCGCCCATGGCGTACCCAAAGATTTATACATGCGTGGTGCCGCCAAAGGGAAGCCAGCGGCAACCAAGCTCCTCACAATCGTGCTTGCCGCCATCGCACTGGCGGCGGACTGGAGGTAGATGTCCACGAGATATGCCACGGCGTTGGTGAAAATGAGCATGATGCCACTCCCAATGAAAAACCCTGCGATGATTTGTGGCACGGGGGAGATGTGGCGTGACGAAGTCCAGGCGAAGAAGAAAAGGCCGACTGGGAGAATCAGGCTACCGAGCATGACCAACGGTAAGCGGTCCTCGGGCAGAACCGAGCCACGAGCCAGCAGCCTGGGACGATAGTATCGTTTCGAATACACCGCCACTCCAAGCGAGCATACCACCACACTCGTCAGAATGCTCAAAAACGGGAGGGACCCGGTACGAGAATCCCAACCTCGACCCTGGACGAAGCTGTAGGGAAAAGCGAAGAAGGTCAGATAGAGAATCCCATAGACGATGGCAATGTACAACGCCATGACCATGAGCATCGGCTCGACGCAGAACATGATTGCCGGCTTGAACATGTACTTTTGGACGAACTCGGAAAAGGCTGGAGCTGGCTTGCTGATCTGTCTACTCAGTGTTGACGAGTCCTGTGCCAGTTTGAGTTTCTTGTTTGCTCTTTGTTGGAGAGTTGGCCCGTATGTCTCAGGGACGAAGAGGAATGCAGGGACTCCCACGACGACGCCGAGAATGAGAGAAACCCAGCCTGTCCAGTGCCAACCAAGACTGCTTTCGGTGAGAAGGGCGCCAAATATAGGCCCCAGAGTAGGACCTACGTAGACAGCCACCGAGTAGACTGCGGTTGCGACACCACGCTCCGCGGGTTCCCAAAAGTCCGCGTAGGTTGCACCAACCAGGACCTGTGGCGAGGCTCCGAAGCAGCCGGCTAACAAGCGACATACTAGCAGTGCAGGGAGGTTGTTGACCACTCCGACCGGTATTTGAAGGAGTGTCCACACGAAGAAGGCTGAGAAGAGTGGCAATCGACGTCCTTTGAATTCTGACAAGGGTCCTTGAACCACCACAGCCCTCAGGTCAGCACAACTCGAAAGGGATATCGATGGCAGGATCCTCAATGGACATGGAGACGAGAACATACCCCAAACAATAGGACCCACGGCAAATCCCAAGACATAAAGCGACACGCCCAAGAGGGACACTGTTTCACTGACATGAAATTCCTTGGATGTGACGGCGATGGCTGAAGACCACACCGAGCTGGCAAACGTGACGGCCGTGGTCATCAACGCCAAAAGAGTGGTTATGACCCATTTGCGCCATACTGGGAGATCGAATGGACTGTCAAACGTTGCGAGGGCTTCCGGGTCGCCGTCGTCTTTGGCAACGTCTTTCTCATGCGGATCGTGTTCGACGCGTAGAGTGAATGTCCCAGTGTCTTCGAGGTCGATTGACATGCTTTGCTTCAAGACAATACATATTGACACACCACAGACACAACACTTTCTTTTTGAAGGTGTAAAGAGCAGATTTGAAGTCGTAGTTGTCCGCCAGATGGTGCTGGTGCTATCCTGTTTTTGGAGGTTGGTGCCGTCTTAGCCGGCAAAGGGCGCAACGAGCATTCTCCACGCCGAGGCAGATCACCAATTGCTCCTCACTGAGGTCCAGATTGACTTCGACGCCACCAAGAGGGGGGATTGTGCGATGGGTAAAAGACGGTCTGTCTGTGCCGAGTCTAATAGCCGGTGTCGCATTGCCAGGGTGCCAGGATATGCCCCGGTTACATGTACAAGAAGTTTCGGTGTCCGGCCGATATCACCGCTTCGCTCCAGATGGTATGCGGGACTTGTAGAGAGGATGACGAAATCGGCGCCAAACTTGGACGTATACGAGATATTAGTTAATATTATACCGATTACCAGTATAGGAATCCGTGGGTGGAACTGTGCCACGCCTTGGCTGATCCTTGCGGCGGGGCCAATGAGGCTGATGAAGCTCATCAGCCTCCTTCACTACTCACTCACTTCCTTGATTGGCTTCAACTGATCTCTGTACTCGACTCACTCTACCCCACGAACGACAAGCCAGCTCGACGAGTTACGATGCTTCATCCTCATACCTCGAACAAGAAACCCCTAGAAATTTGACGTTCTCTGCTGTGAGGGCACCGCAAACCGCTCCCATGCTGCTGTACCTTGTCACCCAAGATCCCGAGTGCGGACAAGACTCCGTCCAGATTGAAGGGCATTATTGGAAATTGGCTGCTCATGACTTGGACGCTCCTGATGCTGAAGACATACGATTCGCCTGCGTCTCCTACACATGGGGTGCGGAAAGAGAGCGCAGTCCATTTCACCGCGACTACCAAATTTCCGACCGCACAATCCCAGCATTGAGTGCCGTATTCCAGCACCGCCCATCCTGCACTCGATTTTGGATCGATGCATTCTGTGTGCCTGTCGACGCGCCGGAGAGGATTCACACCTTGGAGAGCATGGGATTTATCTACTCCCGGGCAGATGAAGTCATTGTCGTCCTTTCCACGGCCGCCCGCCCTGTCCTCGAACAGATGAGCACTTCGGACCGCGTCGACCCGGTCTATCTCGACGTTTTGGAGAAGGAGAAATGGGTATCGAGGGCATGGACGTACCAGGAGGCGGCGAACAGCAAGGTTCTTTCCATCACCTGCGAGGAGTCCCGCGGGGTCATCGTCCCAGGCAGTCATTTCCTGAATTGCCTTGGTTACACCCTCACTCACCTCGATGACTCGATCTCTGTGGCCAGCGATAGGAGGGAGAGATACCCACGTCTCGATGCGTTTGAGGATCTGATTGCTGAGCACATGATTGCTGGGTACCTAGAACGGCCTGCTTTGCAGGTCATGTCGAACATGGATCGTCGCACCCAACACCGTGACGAGGACCATTTCTACGCCATGATCGGCGCCATCAGCACCGCGCGTGCCAGCTCTTCCGCAACCTTGGATCCTCCCGAGGCATTCATGTCCCTTTGTGAGAGGAAGGGTGACTACTCGTTCATCTACTCGGTCGCGAAGCGTGACTCGACGCCATCTAAACGCTGGCGTCCAGTGCCAGGAGATCTCCCGTCTATTCTCCCCTGGCATTGTTACGGCGAAGGCCAACCGGCTCACGAGGAGTCCGGTTCGTTGTATCTGGACCTGATGCTTCCGCTCGAGATCTCGCCAATCAACGAGGACGGAAAGAAATTTGTGCAACAATGGCTTGCCTCGAGCAAACTCGGTTCTACTAGGTCTCACGGATCCCTCCAAGAATCAGCCTACGCTGCCCTTCGGACCATGGGTTTCCAAGGCAGTCCGGAGTGCGTGACCACTACGCACGGCTTCTTTTTTCCCGCCGACACAATCCCCGTGGAGGAGGAAACCACCGTCTTGGTCGCAACTGGGGTCCGGTGGAGTTGCGGTGCTCCAGGCCTTGCGCGCTGCATCGGAGATGCGGAGACATATATCCCTGGGGTGTTTTTCGGCCGCATCGACGACACAGCTGCTGTCTCGATCAAGGTATCCTGATTGATGGATCGTGAAGATTGTCAATGATTTCGTCGTGTAAAGGCGCCAAAAGGTGCTGCCCAGTCCAGGTAGGCTCTGTTTGAAGTGCTTTACCGTGTTGCCTCCATTGTCGCGTGGAAGCTGCATCGTGGCGTGTTGGCCTACCTGGTCTTGTGCCCGCTATATAATTTCGACAGGCGTCTCGGGAAGGTCAGCAGAAGGCAAAGCCCATCCACAACAGGTCGACTGAATAGATTCCGTGGTTCCACCACACGCCCATGCTGACGACAAACATGCATCTACAAGGCGCACATGCAAGACACAGACAAACCCCGCCTTTCGGAGCCGTGGCTCCGACTCGGATCCTTTCCCCTTCGCGCTCTCTCACACATGACAACCTTGATTAGAGTCCGCACATCTGAATGTATAGGTAATCAACGACGTTAGTGCTGGCTCGTACGTCAATGCCACACGCGGCGTCTGGAACGGTTTGCGGTACGTAGTTGTCGCTCGCGCAAATGATTGATTCCCTCATCTCTCCAAGATTGATTGGGCCATCGATCGTGTACGTATTTATGGACTGGGTATGATAGGGTATAGGGTATAGGGTATAGGGTATAGACAATTTCATTATCCTGTAGACCTCTTGGTCCTGCGGAGTGACTTTCCATCCTGCCTTTTACATGGCGATAATTTCTTCCTCGTGTCTCTCCCCTCTGGCTTTGTCTTGTCTTTCTGTATCGGGGAGTGTCTCGAACTAGAAACTATACGAGCTGCATTCTATAGTGGTGTTCAGGCCCTGCTCATATAAAGATGGTCTCCACGAGCGACATCCTCCTTAACAACACTTCGCTGCTCAGTCCCGGCAGCGGCCCCGTCTGCGCCCTGGTCGGGTGCACCGAGGGAATCGGGCTGGCGACGCTGCACGCGGTGCTGCGCCACACGTCGGCGCCGACCATCTACCTCGTCGGAGAAACTGCGCGCCTCGACGCCCTCAAGACTTCGGTACAGAGCCTCAACGCGTCTGCGAACATTGTCCCGATCGTTGTCACCCCCGACGAGGGCTCGAATCTGGTGTCGTGTGCGCAGGATGCTGCGCGGGAGATGGTCGCTTTGAACCCGCCCAGGCTGGATCTGTTGATCATGTCTTCGACGTCGCCGTCACCGTCACCGTCAGCGGACATCTCCCTCACGGAAGAAGGCATCGACCGCACCATTTGCGCCGAGTACTGCGCGCGGATGCGTATCCTGGTCACACTGCTCCCGCTCCTGCGCCTAGCGGCGTCTCCTCGTGTCGTCAGCGTCCTCGCCGGCGGACGAGAAGGGCGGGTCGACGTGGACGATCTCGGCACACCACGGACAACAGAGCCTTCCACCACAGCCGCCGCGGCGACCATGACGACGCTCTTCTTCGAATATCTCGCCGCACAGGTCGAGAACGACAAGATCGTCTTCCTGCACGTCAACCCGGGCGTTGTCTTCGGGGGTGTTCACACGAGCGTCGACGAGGCTGAGGGGGGCGAGAGAGTCCTCTTCGCCGCGACGAACGGTCGATTCCGCCGCGTCCGGGACCCCGAGCGCGCAAGGGGCACGCTGATCCAGCAGGGCAGTGACGGAGTGTTGGGCTCCGGCGTGTACCTCGTCAACGGAGACTCGAGCGTCGTCGAGGGCGGCGGGAGCGAAGAGTTGAAGAGGTTGAGACGTGACACAGGTGGTGGTGTCGTGCACAAGATCTGGGAGTATACCATGGGGCGAGTTTGTGGGGATTGAAGAAGTCCATCCTGTCAGAGAATCGTGTGATGTGTGTGAATGACAAGGGGTTCTCTCATATACTACCTAGATACCTACCTAGTAAGTATTGGTTTGGATACCCATATAGGTAGGTAGCTGGACAAGTCACGTTGCAGACACAGATACAGACACAATGGGCGCTGGTTATCTAGCTTCGCTGCACATACACAGCTCGATAGGCCACACACAGTATATACATGCTAACTTCTCGGTAGATCAGCGCCCCTGTCACGTTGATAACGTTGGTATGAAGCAGTACCAGGCACCAGGTACGCACGGCATAATCGTATAGGGTCGTGAGGCGCGTGCGTGGGTGACCCGATGGGAAAAGATTGAAGAATCTTTCAAAAGATCTTCGGGTGATGCTCCTATGCGAGATCGACGACTGCTCAGGGGTCAATAGATTCATCCAACGCACATCGGTTTGTGCCCAATGTCCTTTTCACACACAAGTCCAGCACACAGTCACACAAGTTGATCCCAAAATGGGTAAGATCGTATCATATCATTCGCCGACTCCAAAAGACAGACTGTACCAGCAAAGCACAGACCTCAATCCAGCGTCGCTTCCTGGACAAGATGAACCTCTCGCCAGTTGCGTTCGATCGTCCCGGTGTCCAGGTTCGCTCTCCAGACACTCAATTGCCATCGGGGAGATCCATCCCGCGATGTTTCTGGCAAATGGAACCGGATAGGGAAGACGAAGAACATGCTATAGGCGCGTCGGCGGGTCTTCTGGTTAAACGCCTCCATCACCGGGCCGTATCCATCCCTGGACTCCAGCACCTGCCACACGTGCAATATGACATTCGCGTCCGAGAGCTGGTCCGAGCCCGCCTGCTCGGGAATGGTGATCGTCCAGCCCTTGGGGTTCGGCGCGAACGTCGCCGTCTGTAGATTGGGGAATTTGTCCAGCTTGAGTTCCCACGTCGCCTCGAGTTCAAAGACATTCAGTCGCACGTGGCGCACGTGGCTCAGACTGTGCAGGGCGTTCATCCTGTTCACGAACGAGTGCAGCGCTTGCTGGCAATGGAGTTCCCACATGGCCATCTGGATGAAGACATGCTGAGCCTCACGTCGCACTTGGCCCGGCGGCGCGGACCTCAGCAGCCACTGGTGGTCTGCGCGATAAGGCCCCGT